TTTTGATAGTGTGATGGATAAGCTCGGGGCACAGAAAACCCGGGTTGTGCAAGTTCGATCACTGGCCTGAGGTTCATGTGCTTTGACTACAGCTCAGCACCCCATAATCACCTTCAAATTGAACGAATCTTTCAAACTTCGATACCTTACGAAAAAGAAGCTACAGTAGCCCTGTCTGTTCAAAAATATGACCTATCCAGGTACCCATTCATGAGTATATTTCATTCGTCCTACAGTAGTACTTAAAGCCAGATTACAGACTCGGGTAGCAATTATTTCGTGACCAGGAGGAAANTGGCCCGATGGAAAAAGTTGTCGCCCTTACTGTCATCGTTCACAGGTGAAGACCGATTTCCCAAGGGCAGACTACTTGGGGGAGTTCATCTGGTAGCTTCACCCTAGAATTTGGGGCACTTACTGAAGCCAGAGGTTGTTATTCTTGCCAAATGGCCTTTCAATTACACCTAAAATTCAAAATGGGAGTGAAATGCGCGGCCTACCTGAAGGAAATGATCGGCACCAACTCTATACTTCACTTGTTCTACCTAAGCTCGTTATAGTGCTGAAGGCTGGTTCCCTAGAGCTATCCAGATGTATTGGTTGCTTCCTCCCAACTGGACAGAGGGATTTCTCTGGCTGTTCACTAGCGAGTTCTTTAGACAGCGATAAATCTCGGTCTAAAGAGCATACGAACGTTTGGTGACTGATGAGGCATCCATCTACATTACCATGACAGTCGGCGTTTCCAGAAACTCCTGTCAGTTTTTTCTTTTAACTGCTTCAAAGTGAAATTTGCACTCCAAAGCTACGGGATCCATTCAGGACCCATTCACGTCCAGTAGCACCATCTATTCAATGGGTAGCTGCCACTTGATACAGCTTTCACATGCCAAAAGTGCGGGGAGATAGGCGAAAAAAATTATTAGCGCATGTCCATGGGGACCACTATCGAGAGATGCGCGCTCTCAAGAAAAGCCGGGTTTTTAGGCATGAATGATGGCACTTCAATGGGAACTAGTCTGGGAATCGATTCTTCCCATAGCGTCTTTACAGCCACATACGCATAAAATATCCAAACATGTACACAACCTACATAGGGGAATTCAGAGGCCAAGGACATTTACGTTCCCAGGACAACTGTCACTTGGGAACCCTTTCATCTGAAGGAACGGATCGAATAGACAGGTTACTCATTAGCTGTAAAACCAAAAGTTATGCTACTCGGATTTATATCAGTGCAAAGATCTGGCTGTGCACTGTTTGTTCCACAATTGCAGGATTGCGCCATGAGCAGGACATGGCATGCCATTGACCGATGTGATTGGAAGGTCGGAAAGATGGCGCAGCCGCCACTTTTGATGCATCAAGCAAAAGTTGAAATTACAGGATTCAAATAATAGGATCCCCTTGGTTGGATTGAATGGAAGATATCACGTGTGGAACACTCTCCCGTGTCAAATGGGAATCAGTTATAAGGGGTTCTCCATAACAGTCCCAAGTGGGAGTTCATCGGAACGGAGGTCTGATGGATTTGATTTTCGAGTGTTCCATTTTTACTCACCATTTTTAAGTAGTTATCTGAATCGATGGCTTGGGTGTAAGCTTTCCGGAATGGTAACTACGTTACGATTACAATCTCTTTTGCGACAATTAATTGCTTTGAGACGCTCCCTTTTCTGAATGACTTCATGACAATCTAATTTGTTAGCGTGTGAATATACATGAGCTTCGCGATGCGATGCATCCGAACGAGAAAAAATCGTAATGATGTCCTTTTTATACAGGAATAACAAAAAAAACTACTTCTTAGTGTTAATGAGCTTTTTTTGGAAGCGCTATGCATTCGTCTTGTTCTAAGAATTGTGGAGATACTTCTTTGATCGAATTAGCGGCCCTTACGCCTTCCTAAGTATAATACAGACAATACCAAAATAGTCTACAAGTGTCTGGGTTACGATAGCGAAACGAATGGCTTCCCACTAGTATACGCGCACTAGTATAAACGGCCTTTCGGGCAACTATGAAAAGAGCTTGGGCTAGTTGACTTAGGAAAATAACCAAAGCCAATCAAAATTTTAGAAATCGACGAAGAAGTTATATCCTACGGACCTTTTTTATGTAATTCTGAGAATTGGAGTTTTTCAGTCATTCTGGAAGGGCGTTCTGATAATTTTTTTTCTGTCCCTATGGCAATGGTTGCTCATTTTTCATTTTCTCGTTTCCCATCTCTCATCTTTCTCATTTTGCCTAATAAAGTGGAGAGATAGGACGAGGACACTGTCTTCTTGTCCAGAAAACATTCGAGAATGAAAAAGTTCTTCTTTCATCTGCTCGAGGTCGAGCTATTTGTTATATCACAAGGGTGGCATTGCAGTAGTGATTGGGAGCGTAGCATGACGGCTGCGATCCGGGGGATTGATGCCCGTCCACACCAACCCCTTTTCCCAGCATGGAATCGAGCGTAGAAGTTCGGTTCTAAGTTCATGCTTATATTTTTTGCTCATCAAGGGAGATATGGTCTAGTGAGAAGTGACAAGCACACGCGCATGGTCTTGGGATCGAATCAGAATCGGTGCTCGCCCAGGAAACCAAACCCTCCATCTCTCTGGGTTCGGTTGGTTGGTACCAGATACGTCTGGGAAAATGAAAAACGTTGACGTGAACATCGGCTAGACACCGTAACTATTGTATAGGCCACTTCGAAACGACACCACGATTCTGAATGGAAGTCGAATGCGGGAAACATATCGAAAAGGGGATTGATTGACGTCAAAGACCTTGTTCTCAATTCTACTTCAAACTCGTCCACTTGGAGCAATAACAGATTATTTCTTCTCTTTGGGACTCCTCTGACCTCCTCTACCGATTGTCGTGAACCACAGGTGGAAAGCGTAAAGTCGGCAGTGGATGTCTATCTGTATTCGTTGTATAAGGTGGTACTTCCGATCAAATGAATAAAGATCCCGAACAAAAAGTAGCTGCGGGGCTCATCTTAAGTGGTGGATCAACCCTTACATTCCATTTTCTTCCTTTCCGTTTTTCCAACGAAATAGGGCGATGGGTGAGGTGCAGCAAGCAGAGACACCGTTTTATAGAAGTGTTCCCTGGTCTACTAGTAATATATCGGATGATTTGCAGGATTATGGTTATAAGGGGAATTTTATGTTATGGTTATAAAACTACAAAATCCCACAGCATTAGAACAATCATTGAACTCGCTTATGCTTCCCCCCTCCCTTTCTTCAAAGGTTCCTTTTAAGCCTACAAGCCGGCACTTTTTCCGATTTTTTTCGTATTTGCGTCAATGTTCGCCACCTTTTTTACCTAATAGGCTCATTTTGCAACAGAACGGAAACTCGGGTGCGGAATCGACTAAGAAAGGACTCGAGCCCCTAAGAAGCCTTATTAGATGCTCGATCAATCCTTCCCTACAAATAAATCCCAGGCAAGACGACAACGATTCAATAGGAAATCAGAAAGCACTAATTTTTTTTCTTTGGTACGATGGAATCATAGAATCATGACGTGAAATGAATGTGTACGTCGTTAGGGTGCGGTTGAATGCCATTCACTAGGCATCAGTGCATCAGAATCTCATAAAAACCCGTTATTCGAAACCTCGTTCATCCATCACTGTGCACCACCATTGGGCAAAAAATGCCAGCACGGGTGGCCCATTTTGAAATGAAAGCGCCGTCAACGGCACTCCAAAGGTTCAGCGTATCGAGAAGATTGACAGCAGAAGTAGATGGAGATGGGTTGTGGGAAAACTGGAAAATTCGATTCACTTAGACTAACAAGAGAGTGATGATATGGCCTCAGGATATCGACAGTCAAGTTATTTGGCTGTAGAATGGCGATTTTTGAAGTTTTCCACTGAAACTTTTCTATATCTGACCCGAAAGGCTGCTTGGACCTTCACTTAGACCTAACCGTCTTTATGAATCTGCTCACTTCTAGATAGAACACCGATGACAGTTAAATGGAAATTGTTGATGTGATAAAGAATGAGGTCTTCTGAAGGTGGTCCCAACTGACCAGTCGCTGAAAAACACGCTGGGTTGCTCGAGATGTGGTTGACTAGATGCTTGTAATACCCACTGAATGCTGCGTGGCGAGGCAACTAACAAATACCGCTGCCCATCACGGCCCACGGCGAGACAACTAGAAAGGTGTCGCAGCCCACGTCGTGCAGAGCGGGCATCGCGCCCAATAGAAACCAATGGGAAACACAAAGAGGAGGATAATGGTCATTACCGGTTTTTTAATGTTAAGTAATCAAAAGAAACAGCCACCAGAAGTCGTGGTAAAGCCAATCGTCATAGTCAAGATCGAACGAATAGCTTAGAACCTATTATATAGTTTTTTTGTTAGTGGAAGCAGGATCGGAGCGGAACAACTGGACGAATCCTTCCTTTTCTCCTTAGATTTACCCATTTAAGTATATCTGTTGTCATATGTGGGGTTTCAGATGCGCCATCTCCGATTGAGATATTTTCCATTTTTGCTACGCCCTCGAGCTAATCAATTATTGAATGTATGTTTTCTATTCGCAAAAGTTCGATAGTTCGATATCATTTGTGGCAGGGAGGGAATGATTGAGTAAAAGCACTTGAAAACCTATCCTGAGTCGTAAGACCCTATTCAGTTTACTGTGGAGGGTACCCAGAAGAAGTACAGGAATCCAGTGAATATGATGTGCCATCAATTCTTACATCTATACGATTGGGGTGTGATGCAGTAGGAACGAAATTGTCGCGTCACGGCGAGAGGGACGTCGCGCGCGTAGGAATACAAAAGAAAGCAGCAGCAGATAAGAAATACAGGAATAAAGGAACTAACAGTAGAATCATAACTTAAATACGATTGATTCGAAACCTATGGTAACGTTAACTATTGAAGTGATCGACTTCTGCTCAATGACGGACAATCAATCGTGCGGCCCCGGACAATGTATACCACACTCGACGGGCAATCGTTGCAAGTGCCCATTTGGATGGATGGGCCGAAAGTGTGCGAGTAAGTTGTTCAAATACTCATTTGATTTTTAACTTGGGTAACTCATAGGCTGTCTATTTTACCCGAGTCGTGGTGCATGACCTTCAGATGTTCCCTTAAGTTTTTGAAGCCAAGGACCCCGGCTGCATTCATAGGGAAACGATGCGATTCCATAGGATAAATACCGATAAATTTTGAAATAACATGGTTATATGAAGAAAAAATAATGACATTATCGATTTTTACTACCGTAATGCACATTCTCCCCAACCACCAAAACGACAAACGGAAAATGCGGTCCCTTTTTGAAAACAGAGAAAAGCTTGGATTGCTTACTGGTTTCTTCGAAACTTCCAAAGTCACTCTTCAGTCCTGCCAACGTTTCAATCTTTTCCAAGACAGATCCCTCTCATTCGTTTTGTTTTTCGACGCCCTTTTCGCCATATATCCCTAAGGTTCATAAAAAACCATCGAAACGGAACAGGTCTTATTCAGTGGGAAAGCGACTTCACTATGACATGCACGACAAACCGCAACATACTATAGTTGAGGAGTTTATCAAAAGATCTCTCTGGGGACATATTAGAGCCTGCGTCCCCTCCGGAACGTTCGCATGTCGTCATCTTTATTCCTATTACGTTTTTACTCGATTGCAGTAGTAAAACGGCACTATTCTTAGATCATAGAGTTCCCATAGGAGATAGTCATAATGTCGAAATCCACCCACACCAAATAGACTTATTTTATGTGAAGTTGTTCTTCCCAAGACATAGGAAGTCATCATAAATACCAGCAGATCCGTGGAGTGCTCAGAGTATGTCCAGTGTCGACCTCCCACGAATTCTTGATGGTGCTTTGTGGGCGAAAGACATCGGCGTTCAGCAAAGTGGCTGGGAGCTCTTGAAAAGTCGTCCACTATTTCTTTCTGATGGGCTTAATGTCAGAGGTAATGTCCCGAACGGGAAACAGAAAGCTTTCACGGCTTTACGTGCGAACATCGAGAGAACTCCCCGATAAGTAAGCGCAGATGGTCAGAGTCATCTGAGGTGGGAGAACGAATGGTCGACCAACGGGAACGTATGAGTACCTTGAGGATATTGTTGGTTTCTAGCGGTCCCTAGAGTGGTCCCTGTCTAGATAAGGGGGAAAACGTTAATCTGGTGGATAACCACAGGGAAGTAGTCCACTATGAGGTGGCTCCACAATCCGAGAAGGTCCAGAGTCGCTCGTGTCAGCTCGGACGGGATGGAGACCTGCCAAACGCTGACGAGACTCGACCCTGGACTTGACATATGGCCTCACACCTACATACACCTACAGACATATGCATGCATTCACACATACACACATACACTCACACACATACATGGATACATACACAAATTCAGTCATATATACATGCACACATACACACACCCATGCACATACAAACATATAGACACATACATACGCATGCATACATATATGCGTATACATGNGTATGTACACATGCATATGCACATACACACGTACACGCACATAGTTACATACACTCTCGCCCACTGCTTCATTTTTACCCACCCGTTGCTATATGGACCCCGAGAAGCTCTTATGCATCGCCTGCGCGCCCAACCAGCTTCTTTAAGGTGACGGGAATCGACCTCTGGTCTTAAACCCCCCAATGGGAATGGTTAATGGCTCAGCATCCAATTACTTTACCTAATTCCTCACTCAGAACAGGTTCCGGAAACCTCAAGGCTATCCATATTCAGAAAATGAGCAGAAGCAAGGAACTCACTTTCTATAATTACTGGGATATGCCAAACACCTTCCCATTCTATTGTCGATAGCTTTTACATACCTTTCTAACTACTTTTTTTCTGGGCCAACGGTGGTGATATGGCTAGAGGCTTCTCGAAGTCAGTTTGAAAGTTTTTTTACACTAACTGACCTCAGTAGTCGAGCACTCATTTGAATTTCCAAAGCCCATTTAAAATGCCGGACAGCGCCGAAGTACTTACTTATGCATTTCAACTATTTTTACTCTGATGGATTTCCAGGACCGTGCCAGGATGTCTACCGTAGTTGCAAGCGATGGCGAGAAGAAGAACGCTGTTCATGGACTCGCCCCATCTCCCCGTTCTTTACCGACAATTGCGCGCTGTCATGTGGACTGTGTCAGAGCAGTGGAAAAAGTGTGATGCCTCATCTGGTATTCAACAATTACTAGTAAGATTAACCACATGAGCATTTAGGGTTACCCTTGACACTTCCGCCGATTCTCGACAATATCGCTTGGTTTGTTGGCAGATGGGAATCCAAGACGACGCAAGGCGATAAGTACGAGTTTTCCATATGAGCCTATTGCGGTGCTATGAATAACTTCGTTACAGTTTCCCCGAATCCCTCTCAGGACCATATCGAGAGATCCTCGAGGTACAGATCTCGGATGTACCGATGTTCGATCGACCACCTGTGAATATAAGGCGAGTGCTGCCTCTCATTCCTACCCTTTTCGGTGATCTTTGATTATGCAGATGTTGGCCGTTCTAGTAGAAGTATCCATTCCGTAAAAGCCATAAATTAGCATAATTCTAGCGCCACGCCACTTAAGATGGCATGACGGGACGTACAACCAAAAATGACGTAAGGGGGTCCTCAATGAGGGGTCCAGCTTTCGTCGCTTCATAGATTATTCGCCGTCAACCATTGTTTTGCTCAACATAGCGCATCATGGAAGTGCTCTCGGAAGAGTTTTTCTCGGTTACGAAAAGAAGCTATCGCTAGGGCATTACCTTCAGGTTTGGTGAAATCCAAAATGTCTGGAAACTCCCGTACTTGTCGATTCCCCTTCTACCAGGTTACTTGGTGTCGGCAAGATGTCTAAGCCGTAGGGGAGGGGGCTAGGGATTTGTATGGAAATGACTAGAAGGGAGGCAAAAGTTCATTCCCATTTTATGGCATTGCACATGAAGAGCGTATCGAAAATGCATGACCGCCAGACTTCCCCTAAAAGTCCTCGTTTTCCCCAAGCTCATCCCACTGGGTTTATTGAGAAGAGGTGAAAGGGAAAGGATTCAGTCAGCGTAAATCCGGAATTCAAGGCTAGCTCTCTGGAGTGCTCTGAGAAACTGTTTTTCAAATTTGCCATCAGATAAAAGCGAGATGCATGGCGCGTCCTAGAAAATGGTCGGTACTGGTTAGTCCGCCCTTCCGGTAATTCCTGATTGGATCAACAAATAGGGGTTAAACATGGCTCATTTACTTCAATCATACCCTAGCTTCAATCGTCTACAGCTAATCAGTTACTTCAATCATACCCTAGCTTCAATCGTCTACAGCTAATCAGAATACAAGCTGTGATTACGTAGCAAACTGTGGAAATTGTTGTAGAAATCAATAATTGATTGTTATTGATTTTAGCAGGACGGCAGTGACAATGGACGGGCGTGATATTTATACGCAAGTTGGTTTTATGACAAGTAAACCATTTAAAGAAGATACTGGATTTGTTGAATTCAACAAACCCACCCATGGTGATGACCTGGTCGCCATCGAGAGCGTGGGCAATAACGGTATGTTCCCTTCCTATCAAACAGTTGAGGGCAGTAGGCTTCACCTGCTCAACCTTTTTTGATAAATTGAAAGTAATTGCTCAGCCTATTGATTGCTATTGATTTTTGGGAGCCCTTTACTCCTGTTTTTTATTCTTTTTATTTCTTTCCTATGGAATACTCTGTGGATAAGCATGTAGAGCCTTTGGTCCGGTTGATTAGATAGGTACCCACCGTAAATCACCGCGAGGGGGTCGATTACTACTTGCAGCTACACACACGCAACGATAAATATGAAACGGACATTCTGACGACGACAAATTGCCACGCTAAGCGCCTTATAATGTAGGAAGATAAGGGGGAGGCCCAAGTCTAGCATAGGGGCCACCATGGATCTTGAAGATGAAGTTGTGGGTCCTGGTGAAATCATACTTTTTACCCGTAGAACCAAAAATTCCCGTACCTAACGAGCAATCTCTGGAAGCTTACTGTCTCCCCTTTCTGTTTCCTGATGCCTTGTTGTGGATAACTCGTCCTCGTGCCGTCGGTAGACGACTTCACGGAGCAGAGTTCATGTTGTCCATGGTGACCTTGTTGTTTTAATATGGGCTCCCCGAAAAACAGAATTGAATGTAATTTTTCAGGCGATACCATGAATTTTAATTTTAATTTTGCTCGAAAACATTCACAAATTGGAATTCTGTTCGATTTGTGATGAAAATAATGCGACCAATGACCTAAAATTGAATGAAAAATACTCATTAAAGGGACAAAATGGCTTAGTTTTTTATTGACCGTTATCCTTTACTGCGTTATGGGAATAGTAAGCCTTTTGTCCTTCAGCTATGCACTTTTTACTTTACTCATTAACCCCAGTAATTTGATGATCGTTCCCAAGAATTTTTGGTAGAGGACTTTGCTGTCGAGTACGCCCCTTTCCCCAGAGAGGCAGAGATTCTTAGCTGAATCCCTGCTCCCGAGAAGCGCTGATATTTCGAATCTGAATCCTAATATTCCTAGATGGCAATGGTTGATTTTGGGGTCCCTTAGGCGAAAACACCCAATAGGACGGTTAGAACAAACTCGAGGGTGATTTTGGAGAAGCATTAGAAGTCCCGAAGGGTTTGAGGTGAAGAGTGCATAGGACCTGGGCAAGCGAAAACAATCGAACGAATCGTCATCCGCTCCACCTCTGGAATATTTCCTCACGGAAAACACCTAACTCAGTTACACAAGTCCATCAAGTCCATTAAAACTATCCCCTACATACCCCATACAGGCATGGGCATTGGGCTGGGGGCTGTGTGGCTGATGAACCGAAATTTGTCAGTATTCCCTTGGCTCGGTGGCACTTTTTGTTATGCACTTTCTTGTAGATGGTGGTGCATAGAAGGTACCGGGCAATCTAATTACGATGTTTGCATGCTGAGGCGATCCATTGTGGGACGACGAAGGTGCCAGGGCCCGATACGGAAGCACCAACATGCCTGGCGACCGCGCTGAAAAATTATAATTGGGCGGCGTTGCTGAGCTGAGCGACGAAATCCACTCGGGCTCCAAACTGGGCCAATCAACGCGACAAGACGAAAGAGAATTGCCACGGAATCCATGAATAGAGCAGTTAAGCTGAGGATGAGAATAAGAGCAACAATCTGATCGTCTGCACATCTCGTATGTAGCTATCGAATAAGCGGATGCAATCGAGCCACAACTAAGCACATCTGCTAGAACACCTGTGATTCTTACGGTAAAGGTAAGGGAGCTAATCACAGAAGGGTTCCCAGAGATCCCTTCCCTGGCAAAAGACAGAATTTCCATTGGAAGGTGAAATTCCATTGGAAAATCGCCCCCTGTGAAAAAGGTAAAATGCTCAAAGAGTCGGTAGTTCGTCGAGAACGCCATAGATAAGCCATGGAGATCCCGTAAAATCGCTACGGGAACTTCCACCAATCCAGAGACGCTGAGAAAATTCACTTTCACACCTCACTGAACTGATTACACTTTTTCAAAACTAACTGTGACGTCATTGATTCCTTCTCCCAACTCCTTCCTTCTCCCCAATTCCTGGAGTTTTTGCCTAATCTAAGAAAGAAATCAAAGATCCCGATGTTAATCTTGGAACGGAGAAGGAAATTGTCAGTACACTGGGAGCGTTCGCTTCGATGACAGACACTCCTGGCTTTCTGAGAAGATAAATGGATACTGTAACGAGTTGTAACTGTAGTTATTATAACCATAACTATGATTATAACTATGAGCATTACTGTAACTATTCAATGGAACATTCAGCTTGTTCTAAGACGCCCACGGAAGTTTTTTTTAAGGTCAAATGATCATTGAAGAAGGAATTGTAAGGAATAATGCGATCAAGTTGGAAACAAAATTCAAGCGATCATTCTTTGGCGACCACACACTGTTCAAACAGGTCCGTCACCCACTAGAAACTTGCTAATTTATATTTTAATAATAATTTATCTTAATTGGCTATGTTCCAGGCAAAGCGAATGTTCCTGCTTGTGAGGCCGGACATATTGGAAGAACGAGTTATCATCACAGATAAATTTGGAGTGACGAAGAAATGGCTCAAAAGGCATGTAGCTCGATACATTTTGAAACTCTGATTACCGTAAACCTTTCGTGTTAAGACCACCTTTCGCGTATAGAATGGCTGTACGTGACTGTACTCACTGAAAGTTAAGTCACCCGGGGTCATAGCACTAGACCGGGTTCGGTGCGAAGAGGCCGTGACTAGGGTTTGAGTAGGAATTGAATACGAGGCAAGCACTATGATGATAGTGTGGTCTTGAAAGGAAAACGATTACGGTTACCTAGTGCAAATAGAGTGTATTTTTATGAAACGGGAATGTAATGTTCAAGAAAAAAAANAAAAAAAAGAAGAAACCGGCAAGTTCCAGATTCAAACGAACGTTCAACTATTTGGAGGAATTCGTACGTGATACGGATGTCAATGATAGATCCTAAGAACACGTGCATATGGCACGTGCCGAAAAATTTTCAACCCACCAATTCGAAGCTTCCAGACAGACTGATTGTGTTCTTCACAGCGTCCTAGAATACGAAGTTTGAATTCCGTCCGGGTATTATATCATTTATCGTTCAAAGAATCTCTTATATACAGTTGTAGATGTTGTATAAGTTGTAAATTGTAGATGTATTGTTATGTTGACTATATGAATAATAAACATAAACATTACCAATTTAACGATTTGATACAGAAATACGCTCATCGAAACGGATACGATCTTGCTTGGATGGGTAACGGGACGAGTTCCTTTTCTGTAAACAAAAACATTTGATTCTGCAAATCGGTCTCGGATATGGCAGTGCCATGGCAAACGCATCAGCAGCGCCCCCAAAGTTTCCTAAGGACGACTTCCGCCAGCGTCAGCAAGGTCCCGTTCCTTCAAGTCATCAGGTACGGTCATTTACCATATTTGAGAGGATTTACCGATAGGTTACTTCTGAGAGCATTCTTTACTTAGTAATTGAAGTGGATATCGAATGCATGGCGTCATCCCAGATACAACTGTTGGGGAGGATCACTTTCCCTATCTATCGACGATCCCTTTGCTCCCAGATCCCCCTATGCTCTCCCCTGATGCCTTCAAACCCTCTTCTTGTGGTAGATGTTTCCTATGACGAACACTTTTCATTCGACAAGATCCGAGTACCGCGAGATGCGCCGGGAAGAAAGAAACCTGCTATCTCCCAAGCATCCCCAGGGGGTTTAGAAATGGACCCATTTGCAACACTTCTGCATACACTAGAAGCCGATGCAAATTGCATTTCATAGAAAGACCAGGAGCGTTCGTTTCGGGCTGACAACATGGGAGAAACACATATACAGCATGTTTCTTCAGTGGAATAGAAATCTCGTCCTCAATCCCGGCCTTTGCCGATGGCCTTTTGCCGTCATATCCCAGTTCAACCCATTGACGAGACTCGATGAAAATCTTGACGCCCGGGATCACACAAGGGAATTCACATCGAGACAAAGCCAAGACATGAGCCCCTTCCTAGCCACTTGAGTTCTCCTTTTTAGGGCGAATTTCGGAAAGCTTTGCGTTCATAGAGAAAACAACAATAGCGAAGAAGAGACATGAGAAGGTCCTGTTATCGTTGAAAACTAATTGTAGAGAAGTTGTTGGGAGGGAACCCCAACGGATCCCTATCTGATGCTGTACTTCCTTATGTAAGACAATTACCCGCACTACAATTGAATTTGGCCCGTCGTCACTTGGGTAACAACAACGAAACCCTAATCCATCAGAAATAACCCATAATAAGTTGTTGGCAAAAAGAAAACGAAATCTTCCCACGGGATTCAGCCTATTTGGGAAGAACCTTCTAGTTTTTCAACCAGAGGGCAAGCATGTAGCCGCAAAAATATCGGAGAAAGACGGATTTTTTTGTTTGGGCAAGGATCCATCCTTCGAAAACATTTCTGAATGCATGGAAAGATTCATGCCATCACGAAAGTGCGAAACAACGCTTTATGTTGAAAGGGTCGTAGGGGGATCCCCGGAGAGGTTCCCTCGGATGAGACGCCATCCGTCACTTGTGGTTCATGTGTGCGACTGCACAGCTTTGCCTTAGAAACCAATTTTCGTCTCTTTCCAGATCCGTATGAGCACCTTTGACTAGGAGGGATTCCATGGGAGCAGAGATTAAGTAAGGGGGGAGAGAAGCCGTTGCACTTCAAAACTGATCGCAGTTAATCTTGAGAGGATCTGCGTCAAGTTGAGCAGCCGAGTAGAGCGCTCATTTCAGTTGATCTCAAGGACAACGGCTTATGTCAATCTCTTCACATCGCTAGAGATAGCCCTGGGGTTCTTTCACTCACCTATAATAGCGTAGAAGATCGTCATGAAGGCGATAAGTGACCGGAATGTCGGAGCGCCGTAGGGTTTTGAAGTTTTCCGGTAACAAATAGTCGTTCCGTCCAAACGCCCGACGTAACCGATCCATCGGTAAGTCAACCCGATCAGGGATGGGCGACTTCTGTTTAGTTGTATGGGTCTCGTTATGGCTAGGCTTGACATCCCTACGCGGTCGTTCGTCAACGGGAAATCGGTCCGTCTTCTGGTAGGTGTTACGTGGAGACCGAAAACTGCGATGTAACGCCTGAAAATGGTTGGCCTCGAGATTTAGAAGGAAAAATTATCATTACAAATTAGGAATTTTTGATTATATGATCCAATGACGTCATCAACCTACTGCTCACCTTGTGGTAATGTCGATCACTACGCATCACCGGTCCCATACATGCAGCACATCCTACCAGAAGGAGCAGACCCATGCAATGCTGGATCATCTCCACATCACCTGCTGCGAAACGGGGATTATTCTCACAAGCAAATCATTTCTGAAAAATAGTTTTCTGGAGAAATCAGAAAATGAAAAACTGGAGAGTTTTCAGCGGCTAAGTGCCTTCTCTCGAGGACAGAGCCATAAATAAAACAGCAGAAAACGGCAGGAAACGACCGACATTCGGACGCTGAGAAGTTCTTCACCAAAGGTTTCAGACTAATTCAGTAGGTATTTCACAGCGAAAGTCCATGGGCATTCTTCCATACACACCTCAGATCCAAGGTCGGGTTCAGTGAAGCATACGCGGAGCGTGTGGGCATTCTTCTAACTCACCGAGAACTACTATAGGTGACAGCAGCCCCCCATGGTGGCTGAGCGGTAATTCATGCAGAATCGGGTCGAAACAATGAGATGGGGATGGAGTTTTTCCAAGATGACCTACAGACGACGGATCGATGAAGTCGGAATAACGAGTCAAAGCAGTGGGGCATAATCTTGGGATTGGGTGTGGGGGGAAATTTGACATCAAACAAAGGGAGACAAGGGGGAAAGCTGAATGGCCTTCGCACTAGCCGGCCCAAGTCGAGCGATTCGAGACAGACGGACGGGAGGCTCCGGCATCCAAAACATGCCCCGCGTAATGATAAATGTCGAAACCGACACAAGCCGAGAGCAGCGTTTCTTCACTTTGTGCTAGTCCGGCATTTTCTTTGGGGCTTTCTACATTTTGGGGCCTGAATTTCGGCTACCTCAATGCTGAGCTAATAAGCAGTTCCAAAAGCATATAGTTGATCGAAAACAGGAACTACGCAACGGAATTGTTGACAGGACATATCAACCGTACATAATTCACCAGACAGCCATACCAATAAGCTCATATTTTCGTGAACACAAGCGAAGCACAAGCTCCTAAATTCGCTATATCTAATAGTTATAGTAATTAAAAAGTTATTTACGCAATGAAGACAAATGTAGATAGTATAGAAAAGATTTAAGATTAACTCGATATAATATAGCTCTGTTACCCGAATGTAATGCGGTTGGAAGTGGGCGTGGCCCGAAGGATGTCGAATAAGGGGTGGGCCCATTGGGAAAACGCCTCCAATATTCGAAAACAATTTGAAAGACAAGGGAATCTGTGTCAAACAACTAGGGGACGAACCTGAAATGGAAATAACAATTCAGAAGCACAACGATGAGAAGGCTGTTGAAGCGGATGTTTAAAATATTTTAACTCTAAAAGAAGGGGTGGTTTTCCCATTTTGTTCTGTTCTGAGATCAGAACATATAAAGAATTTGCTCCCAAGTTGCGTTTTTGGACTATAAGGGGTTTTGGAGCTTGGGACCTTCTAAACTGATTTGTGGCTTATTATTTAAATCAAAAGCGAAAGAAAATTCTCAGGAAGAACAGAAGGCAGTCAGGCCTGAGCCTCATTTCTTTCTTAGGCGTAGTTGTCATTCTACTCCTCCAAATGCCAGCTCTCAATTACCTTTGCCTGCTCACTCTGAATCAGGGAACTTTGCAAGTTCAACCAGGACGACATACGCTGATGTAGGTGTGACTGGGCTCGGTCCTGCTGAGCCGAATCGCACGCCGGCCCATCGGACAGCTCGGTTAAGCAGTAGAGGGCTTTAGCCGCTATCAAACTAAATGGTAGGCTGGCATAACCGAGGGCCGAACCTATCCAATGTGACTTCGCGGTGTAACGGATAGGAGGTCGGCCTCACTTCTGTGAAGTGACGGGTTCGGATTCGCGGGGTTACACTGCAAATTTTGGGCCCCAGTGCTCACCTATTTCACAGGTATGGCCCAGCTTGAATGCGCATTCAAGCTGGGTCATACCTGCGAAGCAGGTGAATAAATGTTGCACAAAGTGTAGGTGCCGGAACACAGCGGATTCCCTACATCGGCCATTTAACTTGAACATTTCATGACCTCCCACATACGATCTCCTTAGCAAATCGTAAAGTTCCAGTGTTGAGACCCGCCATGCATCTCAAAGGCGGGATTGATTGGGCCAGAGATATCGCTTTTAGCCTTTCAACTATACAAGAAAATAAAGTATCCCTGATTAGTTGTTCCAGTCCTACTATGCGCTACGCATTTGGTTTCTATTCAGTGTCGCAATAGCCTGAGACAGGTCCTGCATAGCTCTTACTTACTCCTAAAGCTACCGCTAATCCAAAAAGGGAGCAACTGCAAACATTTTATTCATATATATGATAAATCCTTTTTCGGGAACTTGTGGCCCACTTGGACCGCCCAGCCCATTCGACTCCGAATAGATCCCATCGATCAATTCTTCACCCACTTGCAACGTCTTCTACTTCGTTACCCAAAGAGTGCATTTGTCAGACAACATCTATACGTCATACATTCTTAGTATGGCAATGTGTCTCCACCAATTTGTTTTCCCGAACCAGTCCTTTATTGATTGCTTATTGATTTTTTGTGGGTTACTTAAAAAACAAAGTGGTACTTTCAGAAGCAACTGTGAAGGAAATTTTTGGTGGTACATTTGACACCTGGATCTAGAAGCACTGGCCCTGCTCTGATAAGAGTGATAGCGCTAACTCACAGCTAACAACTCAGCAGACAAAGTATTCTTCACCAGTTGGCTCGCCCTGCTACCGGCGGGGTACCCACCTTAGACAAGGTTCTAGTAATCGGCTAACTCTCCACTCCTTCTTTGAAACAAATGATATTTCCCTGCACACGAAGGTTCGCAGAGAGAGGACTAACAGGGCAGTGCAAATGGTATTCACTGTAAGTTGGTGCTTGATGGAAGTCTCGATCTTCTGCTCTCTTACTTGAAAATAAATTCCCATCAAAGATTCAACTGTTAGAGAACCAAAGCCTTGGGCGGTTCTCACAAATGTTTCGAGTAATGATAATACCACTATCAGATGTCGGTATCAACGGACTTTTTTCTCTACAAAGATTTCATTAGTTGAGAATTCTACATTACGACTGTGAGGTGACGACAATTGGCAGCCCTATCACTTTTCTTTCTTGTAATCATTGAGCATGACAACATGGTCATACTTTCTTCTGATTTTACAATCAGCTCATGTTTGACAGCTATTTTTCCGCATCTCTGGTGGAACCCTAAGGTTAATGTAAAGTGAGTTCCCCTAGTACCTACAGTCAGTAGCCGCGTATTTCCATAACTATCCTATTGAATTCTTTTTCACCTTATTCTCCTTGTATTCTCCTTTGCTTTATTTAGAGGTGCCCCTCGGCGGAGCATGAAAATATAACGTGGATAGACCTTTGACTTATTGTTACTTCGATTGTCCTTCTTCCCTTTACGCGCTGCTCCATCTAAAGAGGTTTGTTGAGTAAAAAAATACCCAGCAAAGGTGGATTGAATCAAAAAAAGAACGCACGCGCCCTTAATATGGAATGGCATTGGCGTTCGGGGGCGGAAAAGGTACGCTATTCTTTTTCTTGTCTTTTCTACTTGCATCTACTCCTCTTTCCTACTCAAGGGCCTACTGTGACCCTCCTGATAGTAGTTTTGCATTCGAGCATGGTCCTGGGTACTACAATTAACCATGAATTGAAGTTGGTCTTCTCATTGTTTTACAATCGTCATGTACACCTATCATGAGTACTGTAGAGTTTAAAGCAATTAGAGCTTGTACAGCTAAAATAGAACTCATTTGTTGCCCTTTCCTGCGTAGCAAAATAATTCTCCTCTAAAAATTATCCACTTTGGAGGAAATTATGCTTCCTTAACAACAGGATCGACCGTCTCGTCGTTCTTTTATCAGTAAAAAATCGTAGTAAGGCTGTCATTCCAGTAATCAAGGAAAAGGCTTTAAGTGCTCAGGATGCCTCAGGAATTCCAACATATAGTTGACAGCATACAGTAGGCTGAACGAAACGTCTTGCAAATTGTTATTTTGGCTGGTGGCCTTCGACTAGAAAAGTGTGCCTAATTTTGTCGTATTTTTTCCCGATACACAATAAACATTTTCCAAAAAATTTGAAGGAACAACAAACATCTGTCTGACTGGAAGGCAGAGGAACTTATTCTTTATGTATTAGTTTTCCACCACTGGTTCCTGCGATGACAACTTCTGTGCTCGGGATGTCAACAGTAGCTGGATCTACCTGTACCAACTTTCGTTTGAATTTTCACAATCGTTTTATCGCCTTTTTCACACTTTGCCATAATTTTTTCTGGATGGAGGTGATGCAATGGCAAGTAACTCCCTATCGCTCCCGCTTCGATATCCGCCTAGGCCGACCAAGCCTTTCATTTATCCGTAGTCAGTTGACTGGTTCCAGATTCGTCAGGGCGGATAAAATCGGTGACTTCACGCCACTACAATGCTGAAAGAAAACCGGACAAGGAGAGGGGACGCATTCCAAAAACAGAATTGATAAAGGAACAAAAAGCCGAGAACTTTTTCACAAGATTAGCGATTTATAAGCAAAAGTTTGCTTTCGAACGCGGCTCGAACCCACCGGGACACCGCTTGCCCTCGCCTTTTAGAGAACACGTACATATAACGTGTTGAGCAGGACAGCCATCAGCAACAGTATGGAATTACAATAAATCAATAATTATATTAATAAGAGTAATAGTTATAATAATATTCCCCTTTTGACATGGTAGAATTCGCCACGCCGAATTAGACCTGTTCCCTAGCATTGCCTGACACGAGCCCGCATCACTATCCGCTAAGCCATCCACACATGCTGTCGCCGAAGGCCACTCCCGGTTGGCATAGCGGTAAAAATGTAACCAGCGATTCGTGGTGACGGAGGTTGAGCTGAAGGAAGCTGACCAGCTCCGGCTGAATGAAGCAGGTGGTATCGTCACTTTTAGGCCTCAGGTGAGTGGGCGTGGCCTCGGGTCACCGGCTGAGTCCAGTAATTTGGAGTGTGGACTCGGCCGTTGAGCCGAGCCCCTCAATCGCAGCTGGTCAGGATCGGTATCGTATCTGTTACTGTTGGTACATCATTGAGAGGGAGAAGGCAGACAGTAAGGG